AATGAATGAATGGACTTTAAGCCATCATCGTCTCCACATGTGTGTGTGATGGATCACGCGCGGCAAGTGCATAGTAAGATCAGCTGCTGAAAACAAATTGAATATTCAGAGAAAATTGTGAATTAATGAGGAAAAACGCATGACAGAAGGAAGTGGGCAATGGCACATAGTTAGGAAAATTTCAAGTGAAAAATGAAAAATTTGTAAGAATTTGTCGAGCTCAGATTCGCGGGCCTAAGGGGTTGACAATAGTTGCGACTCTAGAAAGCTGCCCTTGGAGCGAGTAGAGTGACGGTTGTGACTTCCAGGGAGCATGTCTAAGAGGAAATGATCATTTCACTTTCTCACGCCCCAATTCCTCCGCATTCTGACTCAAATCCTTTTTCCACGAAGCAGTGTACTAGGAGGATGTGGCAGGTTCCTGTATAAAGATTGATTATGTATGGGAAAACTTTGAGATAGGCTTCAAACGAACTCTGGCAGCATAATATTACCCCTCTGAGCCCATATAAAATTCCTCCCGCGGTTCCACCCGCATCTCTTCCTCCTTTTTCCTTCTCTTCATCGCTAAAAGAATCCCCACAAGAAGCCAAAGAATCCTCCTGAATGGTCTTCTTATTGCTCCATTGCACTCCGCTTACTTTTTCTTCAGGGTACTGCCTCCTGTTCTCCCGTGCCCTAGCTCAACTTTTTCAAGAAATTTGGTATGCAAGTGGAAAAGGACCATCAAGGGTCAAAGCTTTGAATAGCTCGCAGCAGAGGTCCCGTTGAGTTAAGCGGAAAGGGACCTCAACCGAAAAGGAGGGGAAGAAAGACGTCTTCATTCTGTTTCATTCCTACGATCTAGGTGCTCTGACTAATCTGGCCCGTTTGGCTCAGGCCCGTAGCCCACCAAGCCTCACACTTCATGGGGGCCATTTCAGCTCGTATGTCATTCCTGGTTTGCCCCCCACTTGATGATGGAGTCGACTCTTTGGTCTATCCACGTCTCACTTGTTAAACTACGTGAAAACGCGTTTAACACGTTCACTTAACTGATTTAACGTGTTCGAACGAGTGAAACGGCAGTTTTTCGCCGTTTTTCCGTGCTTTTTCCTGTTCCGATTCGCCATCACCCGAACAATTATCGATTATCGATTTCCCCGGAATAGTTTTTCACAGAATTCACGTTTCCTGAACAACATTGTACGTCGTTTTTTGCTTTTCCCATTTTTGTTGCTCCCATTTTCGCCGTCCCCAATCGAGCAGCACTTCACCTTCGTTGCTGTTTTCGCATTCATTCATCTATTGTGGTCGCTCTAAGGTGCTTACGCACTTTGGGGCTTAGGGTTCTGGCGGGTATCTGCGGGATCGTGTACTTTCCCCCCACTGCCGACACTAGCCCCGCCCCATTCGATTCTCACTAGCGCCTTGGCTGCGCAGCGAAGAGCACCGTCGGGTGCATGTGTCGCCACACATTTTTCTTTTTCCAAAAAGAAACTTTGAAAATCTTCTTAGCTACCTTTCAGTATGGCAGAGCTCTCATACTATAGGTGCTATTCAACCGCTGCAAATCTCGGAATCTCCCAAAATTTCTCGTTTAAGCAGGGAGGCGGTGAATTATCCTTTTATGTAAGTTTTTTAAATGAACCAGGCCAGAACAGGTGTTTCACGAAATGTGTGCCATGTGGCGCCAGGTCAAAAAAGTATGTCATATTTGCTATCATGTCACCAAACTGCCACTGGTGATCAAATTTCTACCATTTTTTTTTCTTTGGAATCTATAATGTTCAATAGCACTATGATAATTGTGGGCGTCTTTGTTATAGTAGTCTTTCAGAGAAAGATTTTAACGTAATCTGAGAGCCCTTTACTTTTGTTTTTCCTAAAGCTGTTCCTAGCTAAACTCAGCATTACGTACTAAGTGTAGAAGGGAATATCGATTTTACGCGCGTAGCGTTATTTGAGTGTTCAAGCAGCAGATGAGTGGTAAATGGCTAGACAGGCCGCATGGCTAAATGCCTAAATGATGTAATGATCGACTTGCATTCTGCAGGGTTATAACAATAACATTACTCCTTGATTCCTGTTTATAGACAAGCATAACATCATATAGGAAGGACTTTGGTCATGTTATTTCTGTGACTGTAATCATCACCGCCATATTTTCCACTTGTATACTTCTTTGTAAACGGAATTACTTCGCTACCTAATTCCACTACAAGCGCGGGGATGACTTGAACAGAGGAGTTTTTGCAAAGGTTCAAAATTATCGATAGCTTGGGTAAGTTCGACGCACGTTTCGAAGGTCATTTTGACTCTCCTCCTTCCTATGCCAACTTTTCGGCACCAGTGATCATTACTCTTTCAAAAAGTGAGAGATCTCAGCATAATTTTTAGGAATGTGCTGTCTATCAGAACTATGTATAGTTACGTTTTATTCATGAAAATCCCATCATTAATTGGAAGAATTTCGAAGAAGCAACAAATTTTGGAGGTTGTGTCGCCAATTTTGTAAAGAGTCTAGTCTTGACAATCACCTTGGCCTACATCAAGTCTGTCTGTAGCCGTAAAGGCGCTTTCGTATTGAGAGACGTTTTATGAATTGCCCTTTTTTGAGAAGTCGGATAGAAATCTTTAAACGAGCGGTCGATTTCTTGTCATGGGATCGCAGTGATTACTAAATTGCTCTAACTTGTATGCGATTTCTACATGCCAATGGAAAAAAGAGGCAAAGTCATGTAAAGCGAGGCCGTTGCCATAGAGCTATGTAACTGGCTATACGTTGTTCCTTCTACACATTTCGATGGAAGAAAAAGTTAAGTAAGAAACTGGTCTAGGCCGGCCTTTTGTCTTTATTTACCACTACTACATGTATACCTGATGTGCGTAATTATATGAAAACTGTGTTAATTTCTCACGTTTTCTTCAATCTTTTCGCCTCCCTTACCAGTCAGTGGTGTACTTCGAAGTATTACTATGTATAAGCGAATATCATGGTTCAGTTTATACGTGGTCTTCAGCTTTTGCTGAGATACTAATTCACTACGGTGAAAACCTACCTTACCATCAAAGTGGGCTTTCAATTAATCGCTGAACGAAGTCGAACAAGTATGAGATTCAAATCATGAACATCGGGGGAGTTCATACCGACCCTAACCAGTATTACTGGTCCTTAATGTGGTATTGCATTGCCCACGGTGTTCAGCCTTTCCTTGGATCGATGTGGTTCCAGTTGGAGATTTCCGGCATGAAATCCTGTGGTCCTCTGCTCAACCTCTACAGTAGAGACAAAATAACTTGTTGGAGCATTGACTGGTTTAAAGGTATCCTTCTCGGAAACCAGCGGGAAATTTGAGGCTTCATCATTCCGGGCATGCATCGGAATTACGGCATGGGTAGAATTCTTGGTATTCTCATTAGTGCAAATGTCAAAACAACATATCCATACTTGGCCCAGATTCCCTTCAATGACTTTAAGAGTCCACTTTAAACGGTAAATTATAGCCCGGTTTTATTGTCACATTTTTCCAGATTACAACCTAATCCATACGCTCAGCCTCTCTGAAACGATTTTCGGTCCCGCTCCTTTGTCCTTACATCGCACTTGCCCCTGAATCGTGATTTTTATGGATTTTTTGTCCCCGACTCGTGATTCTCATGGTTTTTTCCACTAAGAATTCATTTTCAAACCATCCCGCATTCGACCCTTTGGAATATATTTGCATCAGAAGGGAAGTTACGTCAGTTTCTTTTTGCTGGGTATTGCCTTCCGACACAACAGCAAGGGGAATTTATTTTTTCTATAGAAATTTCATGTGCGTTGGTGAATACATCAAATTCGACTATTTTCTTTTCACTCGGTAGTTTAGTGGGATTAGGAGATGCTACATGTGTAATTTTTTCGAATCGCAACGGCTGTATTGAGGATTCATTGTGCATGTTTTGTATCTGATACTGGTGAATGGTTTTTGGTCGCTTCTAACGGTAGTTTCATTTTGTATTAAAGTAATTCTGAATGAGCAATCAATTATCATTACGCGGGATATAAATGAACTCTTACCTATTAACTTCAGGAAATTTTTAATGAATTTTTGGGCTTTCAAAGGAACTCATCACGAGGCTCAGTGTAAACAGTCATGTGAAAAGTACATTCATCAACTAAGTTAGAAATTGCATAGTGCGACCAAACTTTACTGAAGCTAACGCATCGAGAGCACTGCACCTATGCCTATGCTTGCCTTCGAGAACGGAACTGCTGAATCGATCACGGCGTAGAATTCGTTATACAAGGTCTTATCACACATATCTAAACTACTAGTAAATGTCCTGGAAGCACTGCGGTAATTGGAACTGCAGTCAGACGTCGCGTCGCAACCGCACGCTTCGGAGAGGTGGCATAATGAGGGCGGGATTGTCACTGAGTGAAGTACTCATGCATGCCAGTTCTTGCAGAGCTTGTGATAAATTGTTTTCTGTTTTCTAAATGGGGATTAAGCGGATATAGAATGATTCAGTAGGCATGTGAAACTCGCCACAGCTGAAATGTAATATCCCCACTCTCTAACAAGTAGTTGAAGCCAATTGCTTCAATTAACTTCGTCGAGAGAAGTAGAAAAAATCTTGATTGGAGAGCGGTTAAGAGTTACTACTCATTTTTCCGTCTTTCTATTATATACTGATAGATTTTTTTTGGAATATGTTCTTTTAGAGTCAGTTTCAATTGTTCTGCTTCATCCACATTCTGCAATTATCGTTTGATAGCATTGATTTCCATGTTCTTTAGCCATCAAGTTGAATACCTACAGGGAATATCATCGTGCTGCCACCATACTCCTCTAAATATTTTTTATATTTAATCAAAATTTGACAGTACTAAGTCTTCAAAATTCTTTGGCTATCCATCTGCTGTCCTGTGCACATCCATAAGTCCGTCTCGAATAAACCATGCATTTCAGCGTCTTTCTCATTGCAGAATCGCTTTGTCTTCGATATCATCAATTTTCATTGAGATATTTCAGATTTCTTCGTAGTCCTGGCTCCAAAATATCGCCACTGGTTCTTTCCTAGGATGAAAGTGCTTGAGTCATCAAATAAGGACAACCAAACGCAAAAGACGAAAACCTTTCAGGTCGGTTGTTTGCTATTGTCGTTCAAAGGCGTCAAAAACGGTAGATATTCCTGTCATCCTCTTGACTGGCGGCCTTTGGTTGAAATGTCAACATTGTCCGAGCAGGAACTGAAAGAATGAAACGCTCTATAGAGAGAATTATGCGTTCAGCTTATAGTTTTGGTTACGCCATGCATGTTGCTTACACTTCGAACTATAATCTCAATGTGTTCCTATTCTTCAAAATGATTTTCAATGAACTCGCACTTTTCCAAACAGTACCAGCGTATCGCCCTGCTGTGCAGGCCAGACATCAGCCTCTAGCCTATTCCGCCTGATTACTAGTAATGCAGTATTGGGAGAATTTTATATGCGATAAGTGCAATGCGGCTTTACCACTCAATGCATTACCTACGAACAGGAAGGGAATTATTGTCATGAACTTTTTCGCTGTCGATTTCGACCTTTTCAAACTACACCCCGGCACACACACGCAGCAGTAAACCATCAGAACGGGACGAGATCCGCCCTGCTCTCCGTCTCTGACCTGGCGCTCTGTCCGTCTGCGCTCTGCCGCCGGATGAGAGTTCCTGCTTTCGCACGCACTGCTAGGCAACCCTCGGTTTTTGTCGGGGACGAATTTTATTCGAGCGAAAAAGTGTTTATGTATTCTGGTTGGCGAACCGTTCACGGAATCAAAACTTTCATGAAAATTGAGTGAATTCGTGAGGAGAGGAATACCATGTCCTCAGGGTGGTTTGTTTCTCGACTTTCGACCCGATATTATGTAAACAAGTAAAGTAGCCGTCGAACATATTGATTACGGCAGAGAATGTGGCCGATTTTAGTGAATCTTCTTTGAAGTCTGAATCTCGAACATTATCGTCCAGAACGCCTGGAGACGTACATATTTTGTCAGTGGTACGATTCTTGCGATCGAATCCAGCCTATGCCTACCAAACCTCCTGTCTTGTCGGAGGTTCGGTTTCAGGCTTATGCTTATTTATTTATTAATTGACATGCTAAATTGCATGTATGCAGAAGAAAAAGAAATGAAAGTTACAAGCAACTGAGCAAAAGCTAAACAGAAACACTTAACTTCAAGACTTACCATAATCTCGTAGAAGTTAACTCTTAGCGAAGTGCTGAGCTTCTATCTGGACATTGAGACATCCGTTAAACCCAGCCTGTGAACCGAATGCACCTTCCTGGACCTCCATAAACTGTAGGCGAAATCATGTGCATGGCTCATCCCATTGAAATTACTGAATTCACTAGTTTTACTGCTACAGCTCAGGCTGTATGTAGGTCTGCTGCTCAAGATGAACTACCGTAAAAAGTAGCATTAAAGAAACGTTCCAGCAAGAAGCAGTTCAAAACCATCCATAACCAGATTTCAAAGCAATCAGTTATTTTTAATGTTAAAAGTCCTGACGCGAGTTCGTTCAATCGGGAAGCGGTAGTCTTTAGTGAGCATTCGCAGAAGATTACTGTAAATTACTGTTTGGTTAAGCAGGTGTAAACCTAGTTGAATGCCAAATTTCACTTTTTCAGCATTATCTGCCCGAAGGCGATCGATGCTATAGTTGTGTGCATTGCAGAGCGAATTTGGCCAGTCATAATGATCTGATATCTAAGGTGAATAAATAAATAAATAATAAGGTGACGTATATTTATTCGATTTTGGTTTTTTACAATATTACAAAGCAAACATTTATCGGTGTCATTATTAATGTTATTATTTCTCATATCTCAATTTTGTTTTTCAGTCATTCCAAGGCAGTCAAGGAAAAGCGTACCTGTTTAACTCAGTGTGAGTTTTACATTTAAGTTTTTATTTTCAGTTTTTTTTTTNACTTTTTCAGCATTATCTGCCCGAAGGCGATCGATGCTATAGTTGTGTGCATTGCAGAGCGAATTTGGCCAGTCATAATGATCTGATATCTAAGGTGAATAAATAAATACATATTAAGGTGAAGTATAATTATTCGATTTTGGTTTTTCATAATATTTCAAAGCAAACATTTATCGGTGTCATTATTAATGTTATTATTTCTCATATCTCAATTTTGTTTTTCAGTCATTCCAAGGCAGTCAAGGAAAAGCGTACCTGTTTAACTCAGTGTGAGTTTTACATTTAAGTTTTTATTTTCAGTTTTTTTTTGATTACGTTTTTGGATTATCTATACTTTCACTTTCTCCAACCTAATTGCTCCTTCAACGGCTTGTTCAGCTGAAGAAATTATGTTCATGGCCTAAAGCTACTTGAACGTGTTTTTGATTTCTTAAGGTGAAATTTCAAAAATTAGACTTCAAGCTCCCGAGTGGTTTCTTAAGAAAAGTAACTGACTGAGAAACTTCCGAGGCTCAGCACATAGGAAGTACCCGAAAGGGAATTTCTTGGAGATTTCCTAGGACATAAGGGCGAACTGACCAAGGTGGCAGCAGAGGCTGGAGTGTTTAATACGTCGCTGGCCGACGCTTTCTTGCTCATTTTTTTTTTTTCGCGGGTCAGCTTGTCAATTACCAGTTTTATCATTTGAGCTAGTTCTTTTATAGTATTGTCAGGGAGATGGGCTGTTGTACTGGTTAGTGTGAGTGACCTTACTACAATTCAGCCGTGTCACTAGCTCACTACAGCTATTCTTTTTTTTTTTTTTTTTNAAACGGTTGCCGGATATTCTTACATTCCGGCCTCCCACTCTTTTTGTATGGGTCCTTACCGATTTGCGTTTTCCCCATTAGACATCCAATGCAAATATATTATTATACCAGAAATCCTGTTAGTTACCTTCATCTACTCTTTTCTTGCTTTTGGCATAATCTACCCAATCTAATTTTTCTTCTTTATAAAGTGTAAATATCGGTACTGGTCCGGCTGAAGAGCGGGTCCTACTCACGGGACTTCACGCTGTTGCTGATATCTATTGTCAATGTTGTAAGACAACCCTCGGCTGGAAATATGTGAGTCTTTTCCGAATCCTTGTACGGTCATCATCTATGGAAACCACTTCCCTTTCCTTTTTTAACTTGTCATTCAAAATCAAAACAATCCTAGGAGAATGTCTTCAATTTGTAGTAACCGATGCTCTTCAGTAACCATCAACAAGGCTGATCCCATAGCTTTATGGTTAATTACCAATTTTGTTTTGTTTTTTTTTTCTTCAAAATAGATTGAATTCGTCTTAGCAGCCCTTAATTAGCCGGTTACCGTTCTGCTCCTCTCAGTAACGTCGTGGCCACGAGATTCGAATTAGCTGTGCCTCGCTCCGCCTCGTTCTGACTAGTCGATATGCCCTCACGGAAGTGAAGACAGAAGGGGGAAGGGAGAATTGAGCAGGCGTTCGTGGGGCTTAAATCTGCCTAAAGAACTACTGAAGTGGAAATTTTCTTGTTCGGCTCGTTAACCAGTGGCTAAGAAACTGGTTACGCTACTATCAAGAGCTTACAGTAAAAGAAACTGTCACATTCTTTTAACAAGACAGTGATGGGTGGATATGTTTGCACAGGCCTTCTTTCGCGACACCCTGGCCTTGAAATACCATGAAAGTGCTTGCAGGTAAAGGATATAGAAAAGAGTTATTGATTGAAGCAAAGCAAGAGAAAACACTAATGAGCTAGAGGAGAAAAAGGGGGAATAAATGAAGAGTGGGAAGGAGTGGATTACTGTAAGCGATTATCTGGCTTTTTTCGTGGCCATATTTCAGAGCCGTTTAGCCAGCTTAGACTGCACTGGAGAATTCAGCGTAGAGTTGGATTGTATATCCGGAAAAAATCGGTAAAGTATCTGAGGACTGGGGGGCAAAGACAAGATGATCCTTTAATTTGACTTTCCTGTCTATCCAGTCTAATTCGAAATGCCAGGTGGTCTGTCAATTTAGTAAAAGGCATATTCCACGACGAAAACGGTTTTTGAGTAGTCTTCCCCTGATGAAACTGTGGCGTCCCCTTATACCGTATACGGCGCTGTCAGATCGGTAAACGGCCTAAATAGGGGCGTTATAAGGGCTCAGAGATAGTATCGGGTGAAGCCCACACCCTAATGCGGACGAGTTTCAACGGCGTTGTTGAGACTGATCAACGTTCTCTTCTCCTAAACTGAGTGTATCAAGACGTGCAATATAGAGTAGAACAGTCATTTTCATCTATAAAATTTGGATATTCAAAATTGGGAAGTCACGCTCCACCTGCGCTGCCAAATTTAGCATTAATTTCAAATTAATCTCGTGTGAAGGACAAATCAAGCTTCGTGTCTATCGTGTGGTATTTGGTTTCTGAAAAAGTACCTGTGCGTGTATCAGATTCACAAATTTGTAAATAGAAAGTGAGCAGTAAATAAATTCATCGCTTATGGGATGTTTTTCATTTCTGAGCTGTCTGCAGCTTCAGAGGAAGGAAAGTCGACAGGAGCACGTTCACCGCCTGCTTGTCACATTGGCTTTGTTTAATTTTCCCAAGTGCACGGCCGTATCGAGCCCTCTGCGTTTCCATTTCTAATCTAATCAACATAATGAAAAACAATTTCTTTGAAGAAGGCATGGTTCAGCATACTGATGGGAAAAGCTGTTTCCAGTAATGTCTCGACATTTGCATGAGAATATGTGCTTAGCTGTGGACATGCAACAGCGCCAGCAATCACTTCGAGACGGCCGCCACCGATTTTCATCCTTTTTGCATGAGCTAATATTTCTGGCTTGATGGAAAGAGTTGCTCCAGAGCAATACAGAAGTCCTGTGAGCCATTAATCTCCGGCTGGAAGCACCAAGAATCGTCCCGGCGCCGCCAAAGATTGGAGAGCCCGCCGGAGAGGTAAAAGAGAAAAAAGGAAAAGTTGACAGCTTTGAGGCTTGACGTTAACAAATCAATGGTGTGGGCCATGCGTTCGTCATTCATCTTGAATTGACGAAGCGTCCAAAGGAATGTTTCCGGTACGGGGCAGCAATGACTGCCCTAGCCATATCCCTTCAACAAGCAACCCTGTAACTACATCAACGATGGCGTCTGGCCTGCTACTTCAATTCCCTCTGAATTGATTTCCGGCTTAATTTTTGCTGCTTTGCAAGCGTTAGTTATGATATTCCCGTCGCCTATTCCGGAGACTGTGCCTCTGTGTATCGTGAAAAGTGCCAAGCGCAGCCAAACTTCATTAGACGGGCGACACTCAGCCGATGGCACTGACACCCACGCCACTCCCAGCCTGCGCCTCCGAGAGAATCGTGCTTCTGAAAATATGAGCCGTGTTTTTCCCGTCCTCAAACGAGCACAAGGGTTCTTGTGCATTCATAGCAAGCCATCAGGAGGTAGATTGTTTCTGGCCGTGTTCGTCTGCACGTTGTTTATCCTCCTGATGAGCCCGAGACGGCAACGTTATACATCCGGTCATGCGAGATTTCTGGGATTGGAAGTTTGCATAAGAAATGGCAGACAGGTTTGCCCATTACGTGCATGGCAGCATGACAAACATGAAGTGCAGTCGTTTCCGTTTCCAGTAAGTTCATCACGTGGGGGCTCCTTATCTAGCCAATCCATTAGTGGGACGAGCTCAAAGTTCTCGTCAGCTGACAAGTGAAGCTGAGGAAAACAGCCCGTTTTAGATCAGGAAGCTGCCTTTTCTAGCTGATTTCAGGGTTGTTCAAAACACACTTGTAAGTTGTTAGTGGAAATTTACAGCTGCAGAACTTGGTGCTGCAAAATTCTGGACCATTACCGTACACGAGTTGCTTTAGTTTGGCAACCGAATTGTAAACGATCTGTCCTTACAGTAACTAATTCCAAAAGGGGTTTCATCTAGGACTTGGACAACAGAAGGGACTAGTTTATTTTGCTGAATGCATCTTAGGAATGATGGTGCATGAAAAAACTTCGGGATGTGTGAATAATCCATAGATAGAATAAAGATGTGCGGTTTGCCCACCACCAGGCAGCTCCACCCATTTATATTATTGAAGACATGTTTTTTGAGAGGAAAAAGGTTTCTAGCATATGGTTTTCTTCCCATACCTTCCCTCGCATGTCATTACATATGAGTGCTCGGCAGAGGCGAGGATGTGTGGAAATTTTCATGAAGTGGCCTGGAAAATGTCAGATTGGCACTTGTAGATGAGTGCTTTGTCAACGACTGAACTATACGAAAAGCTGAATATGTAGTCTTTGATGCCGTCCCTCAGAACGTTTCATCCCTACAGCTGAATACAAGTTATTTGAAGATTATTGACGTATGGTCTTTGAGAGGCAGAATATACTCCCTCCAAAGCCGTGGGCACGTTGAGCTCGCGCACGAGCTTCCTAATCTACGCCACCACGATCAGATTCGTTTCTTAGAAGATCTATTAAGAACGCGCTTAAGCCCATTGGCGAGGCTTGATCGAAGACGAAAATAGCTCCCTGCTGCCTGGTTCTCATCAAATTTCCTTCTGAATTGATGAACGAACGGAAGGGCATACGGGAATTGTGATTTCTATCGAAAACAAAGAGTGCAATCGGATCTGCCTTTTCCCAATCCCTTGACGAAAGGCTGGAAGGCAAACATTTAGCTGAGAAGTGCTTCGATCTCAGGTATGGGAGATACACTGTCCTTTTCTCTATCCCATATCCACTGAGCAAATAAAGAAATTTCTCAACTTGACTACATATAGGACTGGTTACTGCGACTTCGTCCCATCATCCCTGCAGACTTCACTTGTGGGTGGAACGATTTCCTTCCTGCCTAGTGTACTTATAACTTTTATTGATACAGAAAGCTCTTCATTTCTAATGCGAACACACCAGATTGGTTTGTGTGAGAAAGTTTGGAACAGATTGCTGCAAGGGCAACGGATGGTTCAATGGGGAAACTCGTCCAAATTTGATGGCTGCTTGAAGTACGTATTTCATGGCTGGGGTGATCGGAAAACAGAAGGAAAAACAAATTATTATCAGAGAATGAATCGACGACTAGGAAAAGAAAGATAGGGAAGTGTTGTNGGATTGGAAGAACTACCAAACTTGTCAAACAACCGGTAATAAGTCACACTACACTATCTACTTCATACCGCGGAGTCGCTGCAGTTCACTTTTCTGGAACATCGAGTTCGACTTCTGCTCCAAGGGCTTCAATAGTGCAATGGAGCCTCTTGCAGCAATAATTACTTTGGTGTTCCCATTTCAATTTCAATTTCACTTAATTCAAAGCACGAAGTCACGTGAAAGAGCACGAAACTTCGAAAACATTCTTGTGTTCTTTGACTAGTATGAATGTTTGCTTCAGCCTTTCCAAGATTTCAAACTTTATAGGACTGACGTTTCGGCAAGTTTGCCTTTGTCAGAGCCTAAAATTCATAAGAAACGAGAATGACTCTCTTATAAGGCCCAAGACAAATCTCGAGGCTAGATAAAGTTTGAAATCTTGCCAAGATTAAGAAAATGTCGATCGTGGTATATACTTGTGTTCAACGGCAGTTCATACTAGTAACACAAACTGTGGAAGAATTACTTCTGGATGTCGCCTTAGGGACCATGCCACACCCGACCCACAGGCTTCATTGCCAGATTTCTGACAGTACACGTTATGTACTGTACATTCTAAGGAATACACCCTTCTTTTACGGTTCTAAGCGGTTCGAGTTCATAACCATCACTAACTATGTTTTTGACTTCATTTCGAACATGGTGGTACTTCATTAGCAGTTCTAGTCTTAACTGGTAAGTAGTGATTGCCGTAGTAGCGTGGTTGTTTTTCTGGTCATCCATCACTGCACATGAGAGTGAGTTGCCAAGCGTGCACGCGCTCGGGCAAATAGAAAACGTGCTCATGTACTCTAAGGAATCAGCTGCCAAAGCAGTCACTTTTGTTAAGCGCTGCTTTTTGCGATCCCAACGGGAAACAAGCCCTGTGAAGCGTGACTCTTTTGTTCATCTCACAGCCTATTTCAGCTGAGTGATGCATAATGATGATGGCACCACGTGATCTCATTCAATGGAATGGAATAATTTTTTCAGTGCCTCATAAAGGGCGTTGGAAGGTGCATTAATGAGGTGCCGCGAGTTGAAAAGGGTTTTCATATTGAATTGTGATGGAAAATAATACACTGCGGTCGGTGCGCTGCCTGCCTCACGACTTTGGGATCAAGTCCGGAATAGGATTTGGGGTAAATCGGCCGAGCGATATCTGGAATATTGCGCGGCAGGACAACTTAACAATACCAATTGACCCATTGCGCGCGGCGAGACAACTAGCCAGGAATTGCTGAGTTGCATGCAAATCGGGCTAAATCCATTGTGCTGTCCTCATTAACGAGATTGGTCGACACCCGGATCAACTAAGATCTATTGAAGAATGTTGGCTACTATTTGACTGCATGCTCCGTTATGTGAGTCCTGAGCAGTTCCCAGCGCTAGGCGGTTTTTAGCCGCTTTTCTGGCCACGCAGCCATTCCTAGTTCCCTTGCTGTTCTCTTTGTTGTTAAATCCATAACTGGTCCTGGCTTCTTTCCAGGGATATGTGGACGAACGTGCGTCCCAGGATGCGCGCGACAAATTGCGCGGCGAAGTTCGTAATGATTTGAAAGACTTTGGCGCTTATCGTTGGGGCCAAATTTGAAATGGANNNNTAGATTAGAAGGATCATCTGGCTCTACTGAACTACTCTACTTTGAGTTTGTGCCTCGAAAATTGGCGTCAAAGCGGTACATCATCACGAACTTCGCCGCGCAAGTTGCCGCGCGCATCCTCCGCGCACCCATTCGATTCAGAAGAGTAGGCTTCTGGCTGTCTTCCATTATTTCTCGGCATTTCTCAAATCTTCCTACTATTACTATTTGAGAACTTTTTCATTTTGAACATTCAATGTAGTACTCCATAGTATCGATCCAATCAGATCGAGATTTTTCGTTATAAAAAGAATCAGTTGATCGATATCGGTATTCTAACTCTGTCTTTTTAGGAACATGCTTTTGAATCAAGTCAAAAGTATAAGGAGGGAAAGTTCATCATCGAACTCGCTCATATGGTGAAAGACAATCAATGGGAAGACAGTAAGAAACGAAAATCGATTTGATCTATTCGTCGATCGATCGATGGCGCGATGCGATCGCAGGCAGCGCACATCTCAGCCGTGGCTATCCGTCAATCCATCTTTTTTTGATGCTTCTATGTGCCATTATGTGTGTGTTTTCTGGAAAAAATTGCAATTTCATGCTGGCTTTCTGCTCCGAGGATACCATTGTATCTGTTCAAATTTTCTTTTTCTTTGACAGGAAGCTTTTATTGGTTCTACAAGTTTTCGGTTTTGATAAGTTCGATTTCCCATTTGTCTTTCATCCGAATGTTTTGTTTTTTTTTTCGGCTCCAATTTCTCCATCCCCAGCGCACTTTCGCTTTTCCTATACTACTCTGTACATAGGTTTAGTTGATGTTTGTAGGCAATGATCTGCCACTGCGATCGGTACTTGGATTTTGTATTTTTTCTTTTATTTTTGAGTATGACTTTTGTTTAACTACTAAGTTTCTAAGAACTGAATCCAAAAATCGATCGATATTTTCCGGAAGATTTTTCAAAGCTTCCACCCTTCTCTACTCTTGTTTTAAACACCTTGAAATAGGTCATTTGTCTGTTTGAAGTGTAATAACGGTAGATCAAATCCAATCAGGTAGAAGAAACGAGTTCAACTATTTCTCTCATGCACACATCGGACCAGACGTGTCGATTGCGAATCAGAGTCGATTTCGGTCGTTGTTGGTACTTTGGAGCTGGGTAATGTTCGCGTTGCGTATGCGTAGCGCACCTTTGCAATGCATCAATCAATACATCGGCTGCAAACATGCAGCCTATTCGCAAAAAAAAACGTTACTGCCGAATTCGATTCTATATTCGTGTCCTCATTTCGGTATCATATTCGGTAATTGCTAATTACGTCAGTGATAACAGTTTCATTTCCCGGTTAAGTTGTATGTCCAAAATAACTTTGTAATGATGTAATCCAATCTGTTATCAGTGGCATTATCCCTTGAATTATAGCTTTATTTTCCTCTCTCTGTATTATTTCAACTCGATGATCATTTCTCTCTCCAGACCGATGTACCCTTCGGCGTCGTGTCCGTGTCACTCATTCCGTAAACATGTTTTTCTTTGTATCTTTATTTTTATCTTTTTTCCCCTATCATTTTTTAAGCGCTTATGATTGGTCGTGCTTTGGCACAAGTGAATAGGCATTCGCGCTTGCTGGTCATCCATTCAAAATGTAGTCAGCGATCCACGAAACTCGTCCGTTTTGGGTCGTGTAGTTCCAATTTCCCCGTGTTTTTGCCCGTGGTGGGCTATATTATGTGTTTATGTCATTTTCATTCATTGTATCTTCATTATTGGTGTATTTTCGCTCTGCTGTACAAAACTGCTCACAACGATGAACTATCTTTCTTACGTGCGTATCAAATCTACATCTCGGTTTATTCCGGGAATGAATACGGTCGTATGACAATATTTCGTAAAATCGTTAACGAATTGATCTGACAGTATGTGGTACTTGAGTCTTCTGCCCTTTGAGGTAATTTTTAGACCAAGCTTCAGAAGCCTAAACGGATTTTGTGTGGGGCCTGAGCATTACCTTTATGTCCCCCTAGCTGCTTCATCAACGCAAGTGTGTGGCCCCTAGTTTAGGGTCTTCTCGACTATCTGTAACCCCACGCAGACGCGTAAGGTACGTTGTCGAACAGGGGCTGAGACCAGTAGGGGTCGAGGCTACATAAGGTTTGTTCAAGCTTGTTTTTTCAAGAGAAATCCGCAACGGTGCTACAACTGTAATAGTCTGGTCAAGGCTGGTACTCTCACTTTTTTGTTCATATTAGGACTTCTTTTGACAACACAAAGAGCGAATATTAGTGCTTTTGTCCTTCCAGAGGAGTCTGGCCCGATACCCAACCCGGTACAATGACGGGCATTCTTGGCATGGGCCGGTACCATTCCCCCGTCCTCCCCCTATGAACTAAACCTATTGTATTGGAAATAAAAGCGAGACATAAATGTAGATAATTTTACTTTCGCGTATATGAGTGCGCTGTCCTTCGAAGCATGGTGGTCCAATATAGCCGTTCAAAACAGCTATTTTATTGCTGGCTGATTTTTGACGTCCAGCTTCACTCGTGCACATATTTGTTGCTGTTCTCAGCATTTTGTTGACCGTGGCACATTTGACAGCTTGTGCATGTGATTGATATAGTGTGAACTAATACGTTTTCTTAATTAGCTCTGCTGTACTACCTCCCACTGTCAATGCCAGTGGATGCTTTGACTTATTGGCGTCAACTAAAAGGGATTGTGAAAGTGAATTGAGCGCCCGTTACAAATCCAAACTCGAAACCCGATCGGACCTCTGAAGAAGACGGTTAGCTACGAATCCGTTCAAAAAGCTCACAAGAAGCGTCACCTCAATCAAATGCCGGAGTTACGGCAAGGTAGATTTTGAAGACTACCAGAATTCCTTACTCTACCGAATTCATGGTTTGAATGGGGACTGATTGGAAGCACCGAGTAGTGAAATTAGACCTATGCTAGGAATAAACTCCTGAAAAGGCGGTGTTTGCTCGAATGATATAATAAGTGTGAAACGCTGTTCTCGTGGCGACTAAGGGATCTTATCAGGACTGGCCAGGAACTATTAAGAGGAAATGTTTTGTACAGATAATTTATGACATCGAGTCATTAAAATTGGGAAAGCGGTTGATGGATCCGAATCTCCGATACTCTGCTCCATTCCAGAACACTTGTTACTATTTTGAATTGTAAGTTAGATGCGCTCCTACTTTCTCATGTGCCGTCGTCTCTGATCCTTACGTTTGAACAAACAAACTGATCTCAGTCATTATGAGCTTACTTTATTCCTCTACCTATTGAACTGAAAATTTTTGAACGGTCATCGTCAAAGAGTAGAGATATACTTTTTCAGGAACCCGATGTTCATAATGAAAAAGCCTTTCTCTCACCCTGGGCAAAATTTGATCACGCTGTACAGCACCGGTCTTCTAAAAAAGTGAAGTACGTACCACTACTTTTTTCTAAAAATTTTCGGATCCTTTTTTTCAATCCCGTCTTGTCAGGTTCCCGATACCGGTACTCATATCTACGGGACCTTAGATCGAAAAGGCAAAAAAAGGACAACTGTAGCTGAACTCCCGGGCCGATTTCTGAAAGGGAAGCTCCGGTATCTGGAATGGCTCTTTCAACCACGACTGTTCGAGGAGGTTAGTGTCTGATTACGAGTTGCTTTAATTTAATGTTCAACTGAGCTGCCCATCGATCGTCGAAACGAAAAGGTTATGAAAACTCAAGTACAAGTTAAAAATTGAAAAATAAAAGGCAAAATTGCTAGTGTTTTATTGAAAAATGGGGAAATTTAGAAATTTAGGAGAAGAACGCTTTTGTTACACTGGTCCATCGTTACGCTTCAGTTAGATATTGACAAATTTACAGGGATTATTTACGGAATTACATTACCAATTTGGGAGTAAGCAGAAAACGGTCTAAAATTTAGTTCATATAAATCTTAGAGATGCAGCTTCTCCTACGGCCTACAGCTGCTTGGTCCATTCAACTAGTTTTGTTAAGATTTCTCCCGTTCTATTGAAATGTAGTGTACCCCGATCTCAATGCTTTTTTTTTTTGAAAGGGCTAATAGTCGCAAATACGTTGGCGGGTTGAATATGCCGAAAACCAGAAAAAGCATCAAGACTCCAGGGAAAGGGTAACGTCTACCTGGCAATGGTTCTAGGAGTGTACTATGTGCAAGAAGGGCAGCTTATCTTCGTTCTGGCGTTCTGAAACAGAGACTACGCGGGAGCGCATTGCCTGAAAATGTCGACAGCTCATCCATTCGGAGGCGGGGGTGTCAGTGAAGGCAACACTAACCGACGTTCGCCCCTTTTGAACCTTTTCTGGGTCTCCCATTAGCTTATTCAATACCCACATCATCTTCAGCATATAGGCGCTTCTTCAACAGGCTTCTTTTGGATTTCATTGCTGAGCCTGTCTTGTGAGGCTCTGTCCGCCAAGAAAATGGTTTCGTAGATTTCATATTGATAGAAATTTGGGGTCCTTTAAAAGGCCATACAAGGAGGGAATCGTTAGTTCCGAAAAAATCGCCTGAATAGAGCGCAGTGAGGGCTCCAAACCAGCCCCTCCGTCTCCCACCACTCTTCTGAAAAGGGACACTCCCAGAGGCTTTGTATAGGCTGATGCTATCCGAAATGGAGCACGTTTGTAGCGATGCAGTCAACTGATCTACGTTAATAGCCAACACAGCAACTGAAAACTCGTCCAAACAGCCGTACTTCGTCAAATCTCGTACAAATCAATAAACAGGTGGAGGAGATCCTTATATTTCGAAATTCGCTTGCCATCCCACGGACTACTTAGTTTATCTGTACGTCATAGCTTCAATGGTTTGGGTTGCTATGTAAACGGAGCGTTCTCCTTTAATTCTAGCCTTGCTCGCTCACTTGACGACAGATCGGTATTCCATCATGAAAGCTATGCAAGAGAAAGCCCTTAATTAGGAACATGGCTCGGAAAGTGCACATTAGATAGCGTGATGCGTTAGATTTATTAGCGATTATGCGAATTATCTGATAGCTCTAATAAATTTTCCGAAATATTACGGTACTTTCCATGGCAGCTGATAAGAGCAGGCACAATTTTGAATAAAAGACCTGACAGCACCTTACGACATTATCATACGGACGAATTCGTTGATTGGAACTTTCCCTTCATTGATTTCCATGTTGCTCAGTAGTAGGTCCACATCACGACCAGTCATTCTCTCGCCTAAGTAAATAATATTAATGGGGTGTGTTTCTTTTCTCTTCAGTAAACAAACATGGGATCTCTTATGGATTTGTTTTTCCGGGAAACAACAACGACAAGCCGGAAATGTTCTCATTCTATTCTTATTCAAAAGTTTCTCGAGTTCAGCGAATCGAATTTTGTTTTGTATTTTGTCTTAGATATCCATTTTCTATCAGTTTCAATGACCAAATTGGGTTTTGTGGGGTTACCTGGGTAGATGCCTACACGTTTACTTACTCCTCTGCAAACCAGCAAAGAGGATCCATGTAAGGAATCATTGGGTTAAGTGAAGGCTGTTTACTAATCCCACACCACTGCCCATTACACTAAGTAATGATAATTGAATGCAGCCTGGAATAAAGCTTCTAGGATTCCCCTATACTTAAATGTGCCAGTAGAGGCTATGAATCATTTCAAGCAGTCGTTCATAGGGGAGCGCTTCTAGGGTATACGGTTCAGTCAGCTCAATTAAGGTCAAAAAAGAGGATGACCATAACTTACCAGAATTCTGAAGCATATATCGAAGATCGGGTAACATTACGATACCGGCTCCTTCACGATCGAAATGAGCGAGAAGATTCTGAAGGGTTCATACAGAAATTCGCTACTAGTTGGATGGAAAATACTCGATAACAGATCATAAGAAGAAAAATCAATTCAATGGGAGCGTTTGCTGAATGTGGCATTATCCCCTATCCAATTACATCGCGCGGCTATTCTTAGCTAGTTGTCTCGCTGCGCGACTCATACGAGCATGGAACCGGTTAGCAGAAGTGTTCTTCTATTTAACTTCTATGTGACTTACCTGAAATTCTTCAGCGGTTGGTGGTGGTCCAGACTCTTTTTTTACATTCATATAAATCGGTGCGAATTCTTCCATGGATACGCGAGCTTCTGAGAGGAACTTGTTGTTACGGATGAAAATGGATAGAAGTTTGTATTGAACGCGATAATGGTAGCCTGCGTTCATTCTCCGTTTTCCAAGTTTTCTCACCTGGTTGATCTTTCCATTGGTGTGTCATTCTCTCGATTAGGCCCTCAGTTGGATGAAGCTGCAGCGAACGGAGACAGTTCCCTATCTACGGGAACAATTATAAGTTCATATTTTTACTATCTAAGTAAATAATCCGATTAAGATATTTCGATTAAGATCCGATTGCATGAAGAGTGGGCATAGGTGGTGTAGTGACAAGAAGCGCACTATCACTCACGCGTGCACGGTCCAGGATATCGGATGGATAATCGCCTGAGCCAACCAAGCCCCCCCATCCTCCAGGGTCGATTGATTGGTCAAACTCGTTTGGGAGGATAAAAGTAATGACTTTCACATCGGCTGGAAACCGCAATGTATAGGCCACAAACGCATCCACCGGCACTACGATTCTGAGTGCAAGTCGAACACGAAGCACATTTCAAAACGGGACTGACTGAGGTCAAAAGACTTTATAAGGTTTCACATAAAGATTTTTTGAAGCCATTCTGAGGACTGAAGTCAGCCTTCAGACGCAAAACCATTTTCAGATCCAATGGGGTAGGCATAATAAATGAATGTGGCGGGCAGTAGCCCTTCAATTCCTGGCTCCCACTGGCTCTTGAGTAAATCTCTGAGTATACATTACATGTATCTATGTAGATCAGTGAATATTACCTAAACAAAGCTTTCCGTTAGCTGGTCGTTCAACAAACTAAGTGCCTTTGGCTAGCTGCAATCTCTATTCGAAGTGAAAGCCTTTACTTCTTTTATTGCCAGTTTGAAAATTGGTTCGATAGACGTACCTGTGAGGCGGCAATTTTTGAGTCACCTTTAGTATCGTAGAATTGGAATACTTCTTCTATGGCTTCCATCTAGAATATTCAATTTCAATCACTCATAGTGTACGACACTGGGAAGTTCGACACAGGGGGATAATAGGCATCAGCAAGTGGGTCAATTTGAAAATTTTTCAAGGAAAGGCCTACAGTACATTTAAAATATGGTGGACGGCACTGAGAGAATGAATTGTATAGTAGTAGCCCAATCGTTCACTGTGTGCAATAATTCCTAGCTAACTGCTCCTCCCCACGCCATACCCTAGTTGGTTGTTCCGGTAAGTACATATTCTCATCGATACCACTGCCTGTCACTCTTGAACTGCTCTACACCACTGCCTTCCGATTTTAATTTACACATAGCCTATTTATTTATTTACTACTAATTATTTTTTTTATAATCGGTTATTGACTCATATTATTGATTATTACTTAGACATATTGCGACAACTTTTTTTTAGTCACCCAAGGAATTAGGATGTAAGTCAACCTGAAGTGGGGCAACTATCAACAGCGAAATATTGATAATTGCGAATCATCCTTGATGACCAATATGCATTGGAAGCATCGATTTTCCCCTGATATTCTCCGTTTTCGATTGATGTCCAATGGATGGCGTTCAGTGGAATACTTGGTGACACGGTTTCAGCACTTCAGTTGTCTAAGCTTGGGTTAAGTAGGGAAAATGGAAAGTTATTGATTTTGAATTAATTCATCTTATATAATATCTTACCATCATCTAACAATACTTATCCCTCTTCACTGCCTTACACCAGACATCAGAGAAGGGCGGAGAAGGGCTTGTCATACCGTATCTACGACCCTTGGGTATAGAGTGTCTCTCCCATACCTACCAAGTCGCCTGTTCTCGGCTATTTGGTAGCTCTTTCATTTAGTAAAGAAATGATAAACATAGTGATTGGCTGATCAACTACTCACCACTGATTCGTCCTTCATCGTGAAGCAACTAACAGCAACGATGGGCTTGATGGAGTGACGGCAGTACAGTTGGCAGTGTTATATGAAGAATCCGTAGTCGGGAAGAGATGGAGGCGGCGAAGAATGACGAGTCATCGACGCGTCGAAGCCGCCTGAGCATCACGAATGAAACAGAAATGTGCTTGAATCATTGCGACACATCAGTGACGTCATGGCGATATACAACTGCTTTGCCCCGGGTCAGCCAGCCATGGGTCCATTTTCTTCCGTGTTGATTATCTCCATTACGACTGTTTGGAGGTCTTGCTAGCCATTTTACCCAGACGCCTTGCCTAGATGTAGCAAAATGATGTCCAACTTCATGCTTGGAAACCTGGAAAGCCTTCCTTCCCGTTTGAAAAATATCCAGGACTTAGACGTGGACCCCGTCAAGGGTAGCCCGTGTAGTGTAACAGAAGATGGCCAGCTCCACAACTTCCGAAAATCTGTAAAGCCGAAGAGAAAATACGGTTGTGGTGTTATAACAATACAGTGAATCTCAATAAATACAAGAATAGAAAGATCAAGTTTCTGAACGTCAACCGTTTCCGTCTGAGGGATGCGCCGTCGCAGTCGACTTCTAGTGGAATCGTAATAGCGTTTGGCATGCGTATGTGCCCTTAGAACGACTTGCGGTGGCCAGCCGATGTACAAGTCAGTGCTTTTATCCTCCCAAACGAGTCTGGTTCCGATTACCCGACCCTGGAGGAATGGAAATCTAGGTTAGTCTAGGCGGATATCGATCCGGGATTCAAACCCGTGACCATGTATGCGTAATAGTACGCTCCCTGCCACTTCACAACCTCTGCCCCAATAAATACAATATTTCCCGGGAAATCCGCATTTACCGAGTTATTATTATACCTCATACCTCTAATTCGTTCTTTAACTGAAGTTAGTCCTTCCTTCCCGACCGACCAAATAGCAACAAAAAGCTGTGAGGAGCTAATTAGTGAATGCGGCTGGGAATGTGGCTATCCAGTAGAAATTTCATTATCCGATTCCATATTAATCGAATAAATCGCACTTCTCCGTCTACAATGCCGTTTTTGACTAAAAGAAATGGAAGGGATAAGATGGCCTTTACAAAGGAACCCACTCAACATCTGTGTATGCAAAGGAATAAGCCAATAATTTTGTATTTACTATTTTTAACAGTACATGTTTGTTTGTTGATTTAATTATTCGTCGTCTTTATGGATGCAGACCATAATGACTTCTCTAACCTAATTTTATAATATCCACAAACGAAAATGGGACTGAAGTGCTGCGTTAGCAAATGAATGATGAAGGTACGGCCCGATATCAGTTCAACCAACCAAGCCTTCCATTCATCCGGATCGGTTGATTGGTACCAAAGTTGTCTGGTAGGATAAGAAAGTTAGCTTCTGCTTCGGATACTCCTGAGAAGTTATTGTATAAGCCTAAAAGCATTCAATTGCCCGCACGATTCTGAATAGACGCCCATAGCGTTGACGCATCCCCGAATAAGACTCACTTAGGTCAAGAAATACTTTTCTCTTTCAATCTCTACACAGTAGGTTTGGAAAAGTTTTCACTGGAAGCTCAAATTCAGGTCACCTAATATTTCTTGCATTTTGAGTGCCCCTGAAACTTTCAGTAGATAAAATGCGTAGGTAGTAATAGTGCTTTTTCAAAGCATATATTTCATATGACATGAGTATTGCTCGATTTTGACTCATATAAATGCATATCCGTTTTGTAAAACGTCATGTGGGAGGGGAGTAGGCCCAAGTATGACGTTGCGCGGAAAACAGCTTCGTCACTGCAACGCCCCCTCCCCCGTGGCCCTCTCATGTTACGGAAAAGTTTTTGCCGAAAAAGCTTCAATAAAAAAACGATAGATAATAGTTTCAACGAAGGGGCCATGTCCGATAGTAGAACCTGCGATTCCTCAAGTGAACCATTAAAGAGTTCCCTTACTTACATGTCTTGGTCCCGGGCTTAGCTGGGCTTCCTTTCCTGGGCTGCTTATAGCTATGACTATGAAATATGAATGAGGTATTCCCTACAGCATATTCTACGACTCACCCCAGCGTTGTGCAGGAGCTCGTTGTACCAGGACTGTAAGGGGACTGTAATGTTCATGTCATCATTGGTTTAAGTCCAACTGGCCGGTCTCGTAGAGCATGACGATTCAGTTGCCTGACTTCGAAACCACTGCTTTAGCTCCAGACTACCCAATTCATTCGGATCTAGGAATTCAGAAGATTTTATTGCAAAAATTCGCCTTACGTAGTCTATTTTTTAAATTTCAAAGGGCTTGGTTCGGAATAAAAAATCGATCGCATCATAAGATACGGACGCGATCAATTCCACAAGAACCACCTGATTTAATGCGTCGAAATGGATCTAAAACATGTCATTTGCATAACTTGGGGTTGGCTTTTTTGCGAATGCTTCTAAAATTAGGATCGTCTTAAACGCGTGTTATTCCCTTACATAACTTTTTCAAAAGCATATAACTGACCACAGCGGCTTACAACCGTAGTTTTAAATATTTCTTAAAAATGGAGTAGAAAATATGGAGTAGAATATGTAGTATAACAGCATGGACTTTACTAAATGTTAATAGAAACAAATAAACAAAACGATAAATAATAACTGATAAATTTGGTACTGCTTTCATGGTTGTAAATGTCCTCACCACGTAATAGTGGAGCGTTTTCGGTTCCGATCAAGAGGATTGGAAAGCTTGTTGTTTGGTCAGACTCTCAATCACATTATTTGAACGCAACCTACACCTCCACTACTGTCGACGGGCACGCTTATTCGTTCCTAGGTAAACAAGTAAACAAGATCATGACTCATTATCCCGGTGATCCTCAGTCGTTCCCATTCATTTGCTCAGCTATTCGGACGGAAGACTGTTTAATCCGATGTATACTTCTTGAAGGCCAGTTCGCGATAACTTTGGGATATATAGTTATAAAAACGAATAGTGGGAATGATAGTTCAGACCAGTGCAAAACTGGCGATGAAAACGCGAAAATCGGCGTATTCAGAGAATTATGTATAAGGTTCCAAAAAAAGTAAAATTAGGGGTCGGGCGAGAATGTGACGACAGAGTTTGCATAGAAGGGGGGTTCTGACGAGCTGTTTAAATGTGCACCCCATTGCACACATCTGGCTGCAGTAAGCTGCCTGTGTGCAAGGTGCGGGTCCCGATGCGAATGGTGCAACCTCTATTGCTTCTACAACGCTTAAGAACCCGTCCCGTCCGGGTCGCACGTTGGCTAAGCCGGCTCTTAGAATCTTTTTAGGCCATATCTTGGCCGTTTTTCCACCCGATAACTTCCTTAGACTTTCTCTGGAGTTGTAAGAGGAAAGATTTTAAAACGTTTTTTTAACGTGAGCTTTGCTTCAAAGTCCACCCTCATATACCGCGGAATATGCTCATATACTGATGGCCCAATTCAATCATGGACTTGCGACCGTACCTCTAACGACAATGAGCGAAGTCTTAACTCGATTTGCATGAGGAGGTAACCGCAGTATCCACTCAGTGCAGCCCGGATAAAATTTTTGGGCTCTTAGAAATTTCAGTACCGTCACTGATTTTCAGCATTCTACGATATTTTACGCTGAGTCAATCCTAGTCAGCAGACATTGATCGGAAAAAACGTTGATTTAATTATATTCCTCGGCCGCGAAACATTCCATCATTTCCTAACCTTCAAGAAATATCATTTATATAAAAGAGTTTGAAATTCCTTTTCATCGGAGTGCGCTACAGCACCTTTCGAATTGGCGACATCACCTTGGGCGTAGTTTCAATCGAAAAATGGGGTTTCATCAATCCAGATGTAGTGTTCCGGGTATAATGTTCATATGTTGGTTTCCCTGGGTACAGTAATAGGGTCAAAATCAGGTATCAACGTCTCGTAGAAGTTTGTATGTAACAGTATGTATGAAAAGTCCCGCTGTAGCACTTTAGCTCAAATGTTTCTGAATTTTACCAGTTGAAAAATCCCCACAAAGTGTTTAGCTTACTCATAAGGTCTTTCCCATTCGAAGAACACGCCCCCAGTCCGAAACCAGTCACAGGGCTTGCTTCAGTTGTACACTAAAACGACCAGGCGAAGGAGTCGAAATGGTTACGTGTGAGGTTTGAAGGCCTTGCCAGCCATCAACTTTGAACGCACTCCATCCGCCACAAGTCCTGTTCGGGTCCCGCGCATCTGAGTAATTTGGTTCATTTTCTTTCATTCCAAACTGACTGTGTATTTTTACTCATAATCAGGTCAATCCACGCTCCGCCCCGTCCATTCCCCACCGCGCCCTGTGGGCGGGGTTCAGCAGTGCCACCTCCCACCAACATTCCCATAGTGTCGCCTGTACCCTACCGAATTTGAGTGCCCATATCCAAATTAACAATTTTCGCCCATATCTCGTACCAAATTCGAAGGTTCTACGGCTACGGAAGCAGTTTTCAATTCCATGAGCAGTTCTCCCTGAGACACAAATTCCTACGGACGCTCCGCCCTCTATGGGCGGAGTTCACTCGGGTAACCTCTCATCAGTCCCATCCTGCCGCCTGTACTCTTACCGAATATGAACGCTCTAGGTTCACGGGAACAGAAGTTATAAACTTCGAATGACACACACACTCACATACCCACACACACGAGCAGGCAAACCAACAGACACGATCGGCCGTTATACATATGTAAAACTGTATATTCTTCGAATACAAACACATTTGATTTCTTGGATTCGTAGTATTGAAAAATTTGTCATACAAAATCACAAAGCGAGTTGGTCGAGTAAGAAAAAACTATACTTGCTACCCGTTTTTATACATTTTTTATGACTTACTCTAAGCGCCAAGATCGGTCTGAATACGGTTTTAAGGGCCGACTTCTTCTTAAGCTGGCCTCCGGCTTTGGCCAGCCGATGTACGAGTCAGTGTTTTTGTCCTCTTAGATGATTATAGTGCCAAATGCCCTACCCCCGAG